AGGTAGAAATGTTATAATGTTTGCAACTTGCTTTCAAATGGCTCAGTAAATTTTGGGAGGTGGGTGGGCGCACGTGTGTAGATCAGAGATTAGCAAATTACTGTAAATGACCAGATGATAAATATTTTAGGCTATGAAGATCAAGAAGCAAATTCAAAGCTATTTTGTAGGTATCTATACAACCAGTTAAAACGTTGCTGTTTCAAATGTAAAACTCCTTCTTAATTAAGAGCTGTATGAAAACAAGTGATGGCCCAAACTTGGCCTTGAACCATGATTTACCAACTCCCAATACGGATAGATGGATGGATGGATAGATGAGAGAGAGGGAGATGATAGACAAAGAAAGTATGAGACATGAGATCTTCTTGGGGCTATCTGGGCTGTTGAAAAAATATATATGGGAAGACATTAACAATTGTTGAATCTAATTGGAGGGTATATGGATATTTACTGTATTAGTCTTTCAAATTTTCTGTATGTTTTTTATGTATTTGCATTTTCTACATTTTCATAATAAAAACTGAATGCAAATACATAAAAATATAATGAAAATAAGTATCATCCATGATATCTCACACTTAGAGATCAGCAACATTTGCATCTTGGCAAATTACCTTTTATTTTTAATTCCTGTGGAATATGTTTTTCTTCCAACTATGATGAGATCCTACTCCATATAAAATTTTATAGCTTGACATTTTAATTTAACATTCATTCATAAGCATTTTCACCTGTCATCATTATGTTAATGGACACATAATATTCTACTGAACGAATGGTTAAAAGATTTTAACTATTTCCCAATTTTTGGACGTTTAGTTTGTTTCCAATCCTTCACCCTTATAAATAAGTATTTCTTAATATGATTTTAATCTATTAATGTATTACCTTCTTAAGAAAAGGCTCTTGGCGATAATGAGTGTAGATAATGCCATTTTGTTGTGTCAGTATGTTTTTCTTTTGAGGGGAAGAAAGAGAAACATGATAAAAACTGATGGTTAATATTGCTGGAAAAAGTATTTCATCTCTTAAAGTCCTTGTAAATCAGTTACCTTGAAAGGATAAAGTAGATAATATGAATAAGAAAAATCAACGCAGTCTTTAGTTGTGTAAAATATGCATAATATAAACATTACCATCGTAACCATTTTAAATGTTCAATTTAATGGCATCAAGTACATTCACAGTGTTGCGCAACCATCACCAACATCCATCGGCAGAACTTGTTCACAACCCCAAATAGAAACTCTATACTCAATGAATACTGATCCCCACTGCCCACCCCTGTCAGCCCTTGGTAACCTCCATTCTACTCTCTGTCTCTACCAATTTGCCTATTCTGGGTACTTCTTATAAGGGGAATCATGTAGTATTTGTCGTTTTGTGTCCAGCTTATTTCACTTAGAATAATGTCTTCAAGCTTCCTCAATGTTATTGCATGTATCAGAATTTCATTCCTTCTTAAGGCTCAATAATATTCTGCTGTATGTCTGTATCACCTTCTGCTTATCCACTCGTTCAGTGGACACTAGTTTGCTTCCTCCTTTTGGCTTTGTGAATAATGCCTCTATAAACATGGTGTGCCAGTAACTCTGTGGGATGCTGCTTTCACCTCCTTTGAGGTGGAATTGCTGTTTAACTTTTTGAGAAACCACCAAACCATTTTCCAAACAAAGCTATTTGATAATAAATGTCAGGTATTAGTGATTCTTTTCTTTTCCGTATGTGTTGACTTGCTGGCCCACACAGCCAGATCTGGGCCTAATGCTTGTCCATCTTTAATTTCCACCTGACTCCCACCCACACTTCGTTGAAATCACACTCGCTGTTTGCCCATTTCTGGCTCTTCAGGCACATGCTCTGCCTGGAACATTCTTCCCAGATAAGCACAAGGTCCACACACCTCACTTCTCAGGGCTCTGCTCCCGTGTCCCCTCCTCAGGGAGGCTGTCCTACTTTCACCACCCTATCTAAAGTAAAAGTAATACCCTGTCACTCTCTATCTTAACTTCCTGCTTCTGTTTTCTTCCTAGTACTTATTACCACCCAATCTACTATATGTTTATTTGCCTTTTTCTGCCTTTCCAGTTTCATGGAAGGAGAGCAGAGACTTTGTCTACGATGTTCACTGCAGTAACCCCTACTCATAGTCTCACACTTAGTAGTTTTTCCATAGATATCAGTTGGATGACGGAACGAATCCAGACCAGGGCCCAGTCACTAGTCGAGACTTGGCTTTGATTTTCTAGAAAGATACAACTCATCCAAGACTTCTTAGACTCATGGGTTTGGTGCATTTGCTGTAGTTGTGATTATGCTACACAATAATTCCTTCTATACATCTATTGTGTTAAGCTACACATTTTGTGACAACTTGTTTCTATTTTCTATTTTGAAAAAAACTAAAACTATGAAAAAGTTACGAGAATGGTAGGATGAACACCATACACTTTCCACTCAGGCTCACCAATGTTAGCAGATGGACCCAGTTGCATTGTCTCCCCCTCCCCCATATAGTCATTATCGTTAGTGTTATTCTGAGAATCTTGACGTTACTCTTAAACTTCTTGCTAAAACGTTTGAAAACCACCAAAGAGTTGACTTTCTCAGAGTTTCCAGTTTTCACACTAAATGTCCTCTGAGACCTAACCAATCTTGAGTGGACCAGTTAAATGGCAACAAAAAAAGTTAACAAACCCAGAAGCTATTTTAAAGGATAAAGTTAAATTAACTTGGCCAGGTAAGGTGGCTCACGTCTGTAATCCCAGCACTTTGGGAGGCAGAGGCAGGTGGATCACCTGAGGTCAGGAGTTCGAGACCAGCCTGGCTAACATGGTGAAACCCCATTTCTACTAAAACTACAAAAAATTAGCCAGGGATGGTGGTGCACACCTGAAATCCCAAGTACTCGGGAGGCTGAGGCAGAAGAATCGCTTGAACCCAGCAGGCAGAGGCTGCAGTGAGCCGAGATCATGCGATTGCACTCCAGCTTGGGAAACAAGAGTGAAATTCCGTTTCAAAAAAAAAAGTAAAATTAACTTTTCGCCAACCTAAAGTTAACATCATGTATTAGGAGTCAGAGTTAGTGGTTCTCTAATGCTGTCTAGGCTTACCCTGTAAAGACACACAGGCAAAGAAAGACAGAGAGGGAGATAGAGTTCTGCCCCAAACACATTTTGCCAAAAGGAGCACATGATATGTTAAAGTGTCATTTCACACCTCCATTGTAATTTAACTTTCTATTTATATAGATTTTGCTCTGAATCCATCCTCGTTGCTGCTTCATGGGAAAAATCAAATCCCTATAAAGAGCTGCTGGGTTTTTTTCCTTTAACTCTACTGCCATCTAGTGTGGAGAAAAGAGAATTCTGGACTCTGAAAAAAAGAACAAATGTGTATTATTTGCTAGTATATCTAGATTCAACACTTTTTATTGCAGAATAAACTTGGAAACTATATCCACCATGACCTTCTTGTTTTGTTTTAGATTCAGTAAAATTTCTAAGAAAAAAATCATACTTAAAATATCAGAGCATACTTCACATTGTCCTGAAGGCAAGATGAACAATAAAGCTTGGTTTTCCCAGTGACCTTTTGGCCCATTTGGCCTCACAAAGGAACTCCCTTCTTCCTTTGCTTCCAAGTTATTTACCTGGTGCTTTGACATGACTCCTTTGTGATGCTTACTGGTCATTGGTTGTTCCTGTCACTTCTGCGGGAATGTGAGCTCCCAGAAGGCAGCAATTTTGCCTTTTTTTTCTTCCCCACTTTGTTCACTGCCATATCACAAATTACTAGAACAAAGCCTGTCACATACATGACAAGCATTTAATAATTACTTATTCAACAAATAAACAAAGGAATAAATGAAGGAATGAAAGGAATAAACTCCAGAAGTGGGTGAAAATGCATACTAGGGGACGTCAAAAAGGCCATCAGTTCCAGGCATGAGGCCTCGTACCTGTAATCCCAGCACTTTGGGAGGCTGAGGTGGGAGGATCACCTGAGGTCAGGAGTTTGAGATCAGCCTGGCCAACATGCTGAAATCCCATCTCTACTAAAAATACAAAAATTAGTCAGGTGTGGTGGTGTGCACCTGTAATCCCAGCTACTCAGGAAGCTGAGGCAGGAGAATCACTTGAACCTGGGAGGCAAATGTTGCAGTGATCTAAGATCATGCCATTATGCTCCAGCCTGAATGACAGTGATAGGCTGTCTCCAAAAAAAAAAAAAAAAAAAAAAATGGTCATTGGAAGAAAACAGAATTAAAAGATAAAAATACCAGCCCGGGCAACACAGCATAACCCCATCTCTACTAAAAGTACAAAAATTAGCTGGGTGTGGTGGTATGTGCCTGTAATCCCAGCTACTTGGGAGGCTGAGGCATGAGAATTGCTTGAGCCCAGGAGGTGGAGATTGCAGTGAGCCAAGGTCGTGCCACTGCACTCCCTAGGTGACAGAGCCAGACTCTGTCTCAAAAAAAAAAAAAAGATAAAAATAAAAAATATAAACTTTGTCAACATAACCTTCATCAAGTTCAAGACACTTTTGTAAGTGATGATATCAACCATTTTGTCCATCCTTGAAGAACTGAGGAGCCTGGGAATTTAACCATGCTCATGTTGCCTTTTTTACATTATTAACTGAAGAAAAATGGATCCTCCGCAAAGATTTTTTAAGAATAGAAAACAAAAAGAAGTCCGAAGGAGCCAAATCAGGACGGGAGGGTAGGTGCCTAATGATGTCTCATCAAAACTCTTACAAAATTGCCCTTGTTTGCTGAGAGGAATGAGCAGAAGCATTGACATGGTAGAGAAGGACTCTCTGGTGAAGCTTTTCCAGGAGTTTTTCTGCTAAAACTTTGGCCAGCTTTCTCCAAATGCTCTCATAACAATCAGAAGTTATTGTCCAGAACAGCAACAAGCAAAATACCTTAAGCATCCCACAAAACTGTTGCCATGATCTCTGCTCTTGACCTGTCCTCTTTTGCTTTGACTGGACCACTTTCACCTCTTGGTAGCCATTACTTTGATTGTGCCTTGTCTTCAGGACCACACTGGTAAAGCCATGTTTCATCTCCTGTTACAAGTCTGAAGAAATGCTTCAGGATCTTGATCCTGTGCATTTAAAATTTCCATGGGAAGCTCTGGTCTTGTCCGCAGCTGACCTGGGCACAACTGTTTTGGTACCCATTGAGTGGGAAGCTTGCTCAACTAATTTTTTAGTCAGGATTGTATAAGCTGAACAAATTGAGATGTCTAGGATGTTGGCTATTGTTGGTGCTGTTAATTGTAAGTCCTGATAATGATGTTGTCCTGCCTATGATGATGGCTATTGTTTGTGTTGTTAATTGGGGTATGAACAAGAAAAATGTTTCCTTGCAAATTGATGTGGATGGTCTGCTGCTGCAGTCTTCATCTTCAACAATGTTGTCCTTTCTTTTTCTTTTCCTTTTATTTTAAGAGACAGGGTCTCACTCTGTCACATGGTGGAGTGCAGTGGCACCATCGTAACTCTCTGCAGCCTCGAATTCCTAGCCTTGAACAATCCTCCTGCCTCAGCCTCCCAAGTAGCTTGGACTACAGGCGTGCACCACTGCACCCAGGTAAATTTTCTATCTTTTTAAGAGAAAGGATCTCACTATGTTGCCCAGGCTGGTCTCAAACTCTTGGCCTCAAGCAATCATCCCACCTTGGCCTCCCGAAGTGCTGGGACTGTAAGCACAAGCCACCTCACCTGGGCCCCATCTTTTCCTAAAACAAGTTATCCATTTGTAAAATTATCATTTGAGGAATTTTCCCCGTAAACTTTTTGTGAAGCATCGGTGACGCTACCATTCTTCCACCCAAGCTTTGCCATAAATGTGATATCTGTTCTTGCTTGAATTTTAAGCAGAATCCATGTTTCTCTTACAAGAACTCTTTCCAAACTGATGCCTTATCCTTCTTAGTGACTCAAACTAGACCGTGTTCAGGCATATTATAATAAATTAGTACAGATTTATCTTGGTGTAAAAAAAATTAAAATCCACGCACAGTTTTTTCATAATACATATTTTTCATGGACTTTTTGAAGACCCCTGATATTTGCAGTGTTAGTTTCCTTTTGTGACTGACATCTTTTCCTGTAGGCAGAGCACATTTTCATTCACAGGCTACTCCCTGACCTTTAACTCCTGATTCCCTCCTGGGGAGATAAGCACTGTCAGTTCTTTGAGATCATTGACTATATTTCCACTCAAATAAACATTGCTTCTGTTTCTCAAAAACAGAGATATGGATAGGAATCATGCAATACTAGATATTACATGAGTAGACATTACAGCACATTTTCTGTGCATCAAAAACAGAAATACCAATAGGAACCATGTAACTTTAGAATCAAGTGATTTTTTAGAAACCATAAAGCGAAGCAGATAAGCTCTTAATTCTCACTTTCAGGCTAAATCTTGAAAATAATGTTCTAGGTTGAGTGCAGTGGCTCACACCTGTAATCCCAGCACTTTGGGAGGCTGAGGCAGGCAGATCACAAGGTCAGGAGATCGAGACCATCCTGGCTAAAATGGTGAAACCCCGTGTCTACTAAAAATACAAAAAATTAGCCAGGCGTGGTGGCACTTACCTATAGTCCCAGCTGTTCGGGAGCCTGAGGCAGGAAAATCGCTTGAACTCGGGAGGCAGAGATTGCAGTGGGCCAAGATTGCACCACTGCACTCCAGCCTGGGTGATAGAGCAAGACTCTGTCTAAAAAAAAAAAAAAAAAAAAAAAAAAAGAAAGGAAATATTGTTCTAAAGCAAGTTATAAAGGTTGTTTTGCTTTCTTTCTATTTAATATCTAGTTAAAATCTCTTATTTCTTTACATTTTCCTCCTTGTAAATTATACTAAATCTTTCCAATCCTTGGCTAAAACAGATAAAGTGATAACTGAGTTTCTAAACTCCTACTCACAGTATAATGAAGAACTCTAAAGAACTCATTTAAAAAATGACTTGGGAATAGGAACATTACATGAGATGATATCAAAATCTTTAAAGGGAGATATTTTTTAAAAGTTTAAGAAAGACAGCTTCCCATCTGAAATTGGAAAAATATCTTTGTGAAGTAGTAGAGGAATTCTCAGTTCACTACTTAAAAATCAAGAAGATATTTTCTCCAGAACGAATGGGTCAGTTTGCTTTGGATGGAGATACTAAGGCTGATGTGGCCCGTGAAGCATGCTTAGAAAATGATGATGCTGAGTCCACACTTGGCCCGCACAAGTTTGTCTCGGTAGCCTGATGCCAACATTGCTTTCCGATTACATATCATAATTTTTCAAGTACCCGCATCTTGGTCAGCTAATTTGGTCCTCCTGAAATGCCTGTAGTGTAGAGGAGACCAGGATTGTCCTTGGCTGCACTGTTGTGTGGCTTTTGAGTAGGGAAGCTGGACTCATCCTACTCTCCCCTCTCCATCTCAGCCTCCCAGTGTCATGAACAAGGTAACTGTGCCAGTACAGGACAAGGGGTCTCTCCCACCTTCCCCCAGACCACTGTAGGTCCTGGGGCACATTTCACACCACTGCAAATCCTAGGAGGTGAATATGGCAGGGGCCCTAATCTCAGCAGGAAGCTTCTAACAGGTTTGATGAAAACAGCTTGCAGCTCTGAGCACAGCTTGGTCACCATCTGTGCCCATGAGTAAGTTAATTCCCTGGACTTCATATTCCTCTTTAGTAAAATGAGCACATAGATTTGCATGATCTTTAAGGCAGTGGTTTCCAGAAGATGAGTCCATGGTTCAGTTTGGAAAAAAAATTAATTTTGGGAATTCACATGGGCTTGCCAACTCTTTGTTGTTTGAAATATGTTAAAGAGCTGGGCGCGGTGGCTCACGCTTGTAATCCCTGCACTATGGGAGGCTGAGGCAGGCAGATCACTTGAGGTCAGGAGTTCAAGATCAGCATAGCCAACATGGTGAAACCCCATCTCTACCAAAAATACAAAAATGAGCTGGGCATGGTGGCAGGTGCCTGTAATCCCAGCTACTCAGGAGGCTGAGGTGGGAGAATCACTTGAACCCAGGAGGTAGAGGTGGCAATGAGCCAAGACTGCACCAGTGTGCTCCAGCCGGGGCAACAGAGCAAGACTCCATCTCAAAAAAGAAAAGAAAAGAAAAAAAGAAATACATTTAAGATAACAACTCTGATCATCCCTCCTCCCATGCTGGTTCCAACCAGTGGAGAATTGACACAGAGATCCAGATGAAGATCAAAAAAACAACTTTATTAGTGGATTGGTCAAGTACCTAATGCCCACAGAGTAACAGAGGGTCTCTTAAGGCAGAGTAAAGAGACATTAGCTGGCATCTCTCCATCAGTGAGATTTAACAAACACACCTGAAGCCAGTGGGCAGAGTAATCTCAGAGAAGTGCCTCGTGAGTACCACCGCAGTGCCACCTCCACAGAGCTCAGCCCCTACTCCCATCTCATCCTTCTCCTTGTGTCTGGGATCTGTAAAATGGGCAGCTCAGCTACTGCCCCAGAAGGCTCTGAAATCAGTAAGGACAGAATATTAAGATAACTTTGGTGGGCATGATGGTACATACCTGTCTGTAGTTTTAGCTACTCAGGAGGCTGAGGTAGGAGGATCACCTGAGCCCTGGAGTTTGAGACCAGCTGGGGCAACATAGCAAGATTCTGTCTCTAAAAAACTAAAATAAAAGGAAAGAAAGGAAGAAGAAAACTTCAAGGCCGCGCACACTGAAGGCCAAAATTCATTGCTTTTTAAATTTTTCATCTCCAATTATATTCCACTTCAGACTCAACCTAACTCATGACATTTTATGATAAACACCACATGAAAGTCTAAAGTGCTCCGAACGAGGCAAAGCCAGCCACACAAAAATGCCCAAATGTACCTAAACTCACATCAGTGATCACAGTTTCAAAGAGAGGTTGAAGTCTAAAGCTGAAACCCTTTGACTTTGGTACATTAAAGTTTGAAGACATGAAGTTTCAACATTTTCTTTCACTTGATTTGGGGCGTGGTAAAAACTTCTCAAGAACATAATCCTGACAGCAGAACTGTCCTTTCCTAAGTGCTACAGACAGAGGATTATAGGATCCCACTGGGACAAAAGGCATTTTCAAGAGCAAGCCAGTAGCTTCCAATGTGGGATCCTAAGCAAGAAGGCACTGAAATGGTGCCCAAGGACTGGGTACTTGACTGCAATCGCCGTTTCTCAGCAGAGACACAGAATTTACCCCAGGCCTCCACGCACTCTCCAGCTCTGTGCTCAGGAAGATGTTAGAACTGCTCGTGCAACCTGAGGCCATTCCCAGAACTATTCATATTAATGTGGTGGGTACTGGCTGCCACCTTGAGGATCTAGCTCAAATCCCTTAGAGAACAAACAGTTAAATACACGTAATAGAATATGGTTCAGCCTTAAAAAGGAAGGACATTCTAGCAAATGCTACAACATCAATGAACCCTGAGGACTTAGGCTAAGTGAAATAAGCCAGATACTGAAAAATAAATACTGCATAATTCCACTTAGATGAGGAACCTGAAGCAGTTAAATTCATAGAGATGGCTAGGTGTGGCAGTATATGCCTGTAACCCAGTACCTTGGGAGGCAGAAGCAGGTAGATTGCTCAAGCTCAGGAGATTGAGACCAGCCTGGGCAACATGGCAAGACCTCACCTCTACAAAAAATACAAAAATTAGCGGGCATGGTGGCACATGCCAATAGTCCCTGCTACTCAGAAGGCTGGGGTGAGGATCACTTGCCCCTGGAGGTTGAGGGTTCAGTGAGCCAAGATCATGCCACTGCACTCCAGCCTGGACGACAGAGTGAAACCCTGTCTCAAAAAAAAAAAAAAATTCCATAGAGACGTGCAGAAGAATGGTTGTCAGGAACTGGGAGGAGGAGAGAATAAGGAATTATTGTGTAATGGACATAGAGTTTCAGTTTGGAAACTGGCAATGGTAGCGCAACAATGTGAATGTACTTAGTGCCATTAAGCTGTGGATTTAAAACTGATTAACATGGTAAATTTTATGCTGTGTGTATTTTACCACCATTTAACATTTTAACCTTCAATTAAAAAAAAAAAAAAAAAAGTCCTTCTTAGCCTGACTGCGAAACCAAGAACACCTATGATTGTTTGCATAACTCTAAGCTACCCAATGCTGGCAGTTTGCAATGAAATTCAGGCTTCTCAAGCCTCATTTAGTAAACACCACAGCCTATCCAGCCCCCCTGCACTCCCCACGTTGATCCACGGAGGAAAGGTCTTCCTCCCACACTTCTGCCTCTAGACCAGTGCTGGGAGGAGAGCTTCCACCCCACTTTCCTGTCATCCAAAGGGAAGAGAAATACTGAATCTGATGGGTGAGGGCTGGCATCACAGGCCAGGGCTCCCCAGTGGACAGAGTTCAGGGTCAGTGTTACCTGCGACTGTCTTTATCTTTGTGTGCCCAGCAAACTGAGCAGGGCCCACCTCAGCAAATGCATAATTCACTTCCTGCCCCACCCTCTCTGCTTATAACCAGGGATGAGTCAGAATGGCCTCATAGCAGGGACCTGTCTGAAACTGGTTTCAGGGGAAGGTAGAAGGCCCCCTCAAGACTGCCAACTAAAAGTCCGTATCTCAGCTTCACTAGAGCTGGCATGGACACAGGGCTTAACCAGGTCAAGAATGGGACTTTGATTCCCATCTGGATGTCAGTTTCTTGAGCTGCTTCTCTTCTGGCAGGAAAGGGGGCAGAAATGAGAGGGTAAAGGAGAATGGTCGTATTCCCCTCAAATCACTATGAAATGGTCTTTTAAAAATAAGAAAAGTAGGACAGACATTCTAAAGAAAAAAAAATTCTTTTCAACTGAACACATTTAGCTTTATAGAAAGCTCACCTTGTTTGTATTTAGTTTTGTCCAAACTGTTAATTTCATAATTATCACTACTCCATGAACCTGCATTTGAGAAATCTTTGAGGAGGATTCCTCTGAAGTAGTTTTTTGCTGTCAAATTCTATGATACTAATAACTATCACTTCTCCTTCCATTACCCCTCCCAGAACCCCTGAACCCCCAGAACTACAATTTATTGCCTTACAGAATGCTTTGTACGAATAAATACTCAAGAAATTTTTAAAATACAGCCTGTCCCCCGTGTTGGGGTGACTCAGGAACCCATCTGACCTAAAGTTCCGTCTATGTATCTGAATCCAGAGTCCAGACACTCATGCAGATGAAGAAAAAGTATCAGGAGCGGCACATCCCTGAGCCAAAATGCACCAAAGACGATTTCACAATAGGTACCCAGTTTATTTTTGCTTTATGGGGCTGCCTGCAAATTCAGGTTTCTCTGGTTCACCTCCTTTGCATTATTGTGTGTTAATTAAAGTGAAATTAGCACGTCTTCCTGAAGCTCTTGCCAGTCCTTGGTATACACAGCAGGACTAACAGTAAGCTGTCTTCACTCCGTGCTTTCTAGGCATCAGGGTTCTTCAAGACTCATATTTTTTCTCTGAGAATTATTATCTCATTCTGCCTACCATGCTCCCCAGCAGAGAGGGAAGAAGAGAACTCTCTGTGTCCCCCACTCCCACACAAAAAGCCATTCTCTTCTTTGCAAGCAACTGGTACATGTTTTCAGCTGACATGTCCTAGATTGTTCTAAAAAGAGCAGCGGCAAATGAAACTGCAAGAACAGATGATTCAAAGACTCCCTGGGAACTGCCACAGCCAGCTCATAATTACAAACGCAGGGTAGGCGGAACATCTGTATCCTGAATCATTCTGCTTTTCTAAAAGGGAGAATGTCATTAGCCCTCCTGCTGCAGGAAGCTTTGAGATCTGTAAGTAGGCTCCAGAACTGGTTCACAGTGTGCTGTGTCTTCTTGAGACTGCAAGTGACCCTCCCCACTCCCGTACAAATTTAACATATATTGAAGTCATTATAATTAATTATCAACTGAGTGTAGCCCAGAGAGCTTTTAAGTCTATATTTTGAACAATAACTCTGCAAAGGTAATGTTCATGTGTTTTGGGGGAGAATGATAACCTTCAAATCTTATAAACGTTTCTGATCTTGGTTCTCTAATGCCTGGAATGATACAAATTTAGGGACATTGCCTTTTGGGGGAAGAGATACTAGGAAAAAGTGTAAGGACAAATTGTTCTTATAGTTTCTGGAAAACTATAAGAAGAATTATCTTAAACGAGAGCTGGTTGAGGCTCTGGGCTTAATGAATAACAAAAAGATGATGGCAAAAGAAACAGAAGATATTGATGACTGAAAACAAGACTTAATACTTTTGGCAGAGCCAAGTTTACCAGTGTGTTGGCAGGAGTTACTGTTCCTCCTTGTATGACTTCGTTGGGGACATTTCATTGTTTATACAGAAAGTGTAAACATAGCTGTTGATTTAACAAAACACTGTTTTTTATTCCCTGTCTCCCCCAGCCATGGTAAATAGCCCAACATTTAAGCTCGTAGGCTTTGATGTGAGTTAAGGTAAGATTCGGTTGTGCTGGTCATAGCTGTGTGCCTTAGGACAAACTTCCTACCCTCTCTGGGTTCAGTTTCCAGATTTCTATAGGAGTCACAATCCTATCTGTCTTGAAAAGCAGTTTTAAGGATATAATGAGGCAATGTTTATAACCACCAGAGGATAATTTTGGGACACAGCAAATCCTTAATGAATGTCGGGGTAGAATGGGGTGGCACTTTGCTGTTGTCAATTTATCTAAATAAAATCCCCACTTACAAACACTTGGTACAGAATAAAATTAACAGTCTCCAGGGTCAGCGCAAAAACCTCAAACTCTGAACAAGTATCACACAAAATGCTTGCGTAAGGTAGCTTTCCGTAAAGAAATGTGACGAACCCTGAAAGAAAAACTGAGGAAAACAGAAATGTCCACTTAAGACAATTAGACAGACATACTCAATGTTTGTGAAGGGAAGATGACACATTACCATCAGGTCTTTTTGAGCTGGCAGCAGGTTCTATCTGAGGATTCTAGATATTCAAATGGCCTGACATGAGTTTGAATTTGCCAAAGCATCCTCATAGGACCTCTTGAGAATGTAATCAAAGACTCCCTGAGAACTGCCACAGCCAGCACAAAATTACAAAGGCAGGGTAGGCGAAACACCCCCTTGTTTCCCCATTTCTACTTTGAGGGTAGAAATGGGGAAACAAGGGGAAGCTGGAAAGTGATTGTAGGAAGGTCCCGTAATAGGACCATGGTAGGAGGAATGTGCCTCAGGAAGGGTGAAAAAGTTATTCTACTTCCTCTCATCCTTCTGTTCACCAACCTCTCCCCAGATGCATGGGCTAGGGCACTGGACATCCTCCAAACTTGACCAGTTATATGACATCACTCTAATATAACATAATGTTCTTAGTCTATTTTGTTTGCTATACCAAAATACCATAAACTGGTTGACTTATAAACAGGAATTTATTTCTTACCATTCTGGAGGCTGGAATGTCCCAGATCAAGGCACTGATAGAGTCCATGTCTGGTGAGGGCCTGCTTCCTGGTTCATCTCACATAGTGAGGGCGTTCTATGAAGTGTCTTTTAAAAGGGCGCTAATCCCATTCAAGAGGCCTTCTTTGTTATTGCTTAATCGCCTCTCAAAACCTCTACCTCCTAATACCATCACCTTGGGAGTTAAGATTTCAACATATCCATTTTAGAGGTACATAACATTCATCCCACAGCAATGATGAAATTGTATCCTTTTAGCAGCAGGTACAAGATCCATCATCATTGGGAAAAGACCCTGGGTCAGCCCACTTTAGCCAGGGAAGTACCCATGTGGTCATGGATGCTGGCTTCCACAAAATTATCCTGCGAAGGGTGAGATGTCTGTGACACTCTTGAGTGAAGGAGGAAGAAGAAGAGACAGGAGGAAAAAGAAAGGTAAAAGAGCGAGAAAAAAGAAGAGTCAATGCAGTAATGGAGAAGACAGCCCCTCAAATTCTCACCAAAGCCACTAAGCCCATAAAGGCTTAGAAGTGGATTAAGAGTATGAGTGGTATTTGTGTCCAGGTTGGCAGATCACAAAACAGAAAAAAATACAGGCAGAAGTAGAGCTAGAAGGCAATGTGACCTCAGCTGCTAGCTGGGTTACATAAACTATCATATGATTAAACATGCAGTAAGTCCTCCTTTAACATTGTTGATAGGCTCTTGGAAACTGCAACTTTAAGCAGAACTATGTGCAGCAGGTCCTCAAATGACATCATTTCATTCAATATCGTTTTATTATAACATTGACTAAAAAAATTGGTTTTTCTCACACGTCATTTTGCTTACAGTCACAGTTTCCAAGAACCCATTGAGGACATTAAGTGAGAATTTATTGTGTATATTTTTACTAAGGGATAAAAATATTAAGGTGAATAAAGATCTCGAGGTGAGATGGTGTGTAAGTGGCATGCCAAGCCGAGGGAACCCCCGTGCAGATGCACAGAAACTACCATGCACAGAGTCAATATTTGTTGAACTCCTGCCATGTGCAAAGGAATTATATTAGGCTATGGAGCCCCATGTTGAGCAAAACCAGAGTCCTAGCATTCACACACCAATGAGAAAGATAAATGCTAATCAAGTCACTGCACGAAAGTCTGTAAAATGACAGTAGTCAGGAGGGCTGTGAAGAAGGGTCACATGGTGCAATGAGAGAATGAACAGGGAGACTGGACTCATCCGGGGGATCAGAGACCTCTTCCCCAAATAAGCAATGCTTGGCCTGAGAACTGAATGGTGAGACCTTAACTAAGTGAAGAAAATAGAGCAAAGCATCCCAGGAAGAGGAATGTTATGGGTGGCAAATTGAAGGACTGAAAGAATGCAACGTGTGTTTAGGGCAAAGAGAGCCCTAGAGAGAATGAGCAGCATGAAGCCGGAAGGTTGGAAGGAGCAAGCTTCTCAGGGGCTGCAGACCATGTTACTGAGTTTAGTCTTTACCTGCAGGGAGAGAGGAAGTCACTGACAGGAAACTGATAGGAACATCCAAGAAAGTCTGAAAATGGCAGATGAGTCCTCTGTGTACGCATAAAGTGTGCCTCCACTTTACTTAGCATCTCAATAAACTATATATTTGGGTTACCCTGAGTAGCTGGGCATGCCCCAAATGAGAAAATATTTAATTAACATCGTTAACTTAGCAGGTTGGGCACGGTGGCTCACAACTGTAATCCCAGGATTTGGGGAGGCCGTGGCAAGTGGATCACTTGAGCTCATGAGTTTGAGACAAGCCTGGGCAACATGGCAAAATCCCATTTCTACTAAAAATACAAAAATCCTGGTGCATGCTTGTAGTCCCAGCTACTTGGGGGGCTGAGGTGGAAGGATCTCTTGAACCTGGGAGGTGGAGGTTGCAGTAAACCGAGATTGCTTCACTGCATTCCAGCCAGCCTGGGTGACAGAGCATGACTCCACCAAAAAACAAACAAACAACAAAAAAAGACAAAAAGTAATAAAAGAAAAAAAAATGTTATCTTAGTAACTGCATTTCCATAATCGGTATTTTTTAAGTGAATTTTCTATCAACACACAAGAAAAACTCTAAATTCTGAACTACTACTGAAATGTAAATGCCCAGGATGTAAATTCACAATTCAATGTTTAATTTTTAGTGACTTGAGGAATACTGGTCAAACAGCCAGAGTTCTTTCTTTTTTTTTTTTTTTTTTGAGACAGAGTTTCACTCTTGTTACCCAGGCTGGAGTGCAATAGTGCAATCTTGGCTCGCTACAACCTCTTTCTCCCAGGTTCAAGCGATTCTCCTGCCTCAGCCTTCTGAGTAGCTGGGATTACAAGCACCTGCTACCACACCCAGCTAAATTTTTTGTATTTTCAGTAGAGATGAGGTTTCACCATGTCAGCCAAACTGGTCTTGAGCTGCTGACCTCAGGTGATCTGCCCTCCTCAGCCTCCCAAAGTGCTGGGATGACAGGCATGAGCCACCACGCCCAGCCCAGAGTTCTAATTCTGACTCTGCCTCTTATTAGTCACATGGTCTTGCACAACTCTCCAAATAGTTATTCATTGTGCTATTATTTGTAATAGAAAAATATTGGAAACACCCTAAAGGCCCATACATAGGAGTTTGGTTGATAAACTCTGGTTTATATTTGTATATAAAAAAGATTTCTGTTAAACAATATAAACTGATTTCCAGACCATATTACTAAGTAAAAAAAAAAAAAAGACAATATGTAGTATGCTACATTTTGTGTGACAAAGACAAAGTGTTGAGATTCACTGAGGGTGGTTGGCAAAATATTAAGGGAACTATTAGGGAAAGTTATAAGAGTATAGTCTCAAACCTTTTGGAAGGCCGAACGGTTTGTAAGAATGGAACAGGCTGAAAGCAGCCAGTTCTTACCTTAGAGCATTAGGTCATAGGATGAAGACTAGGGATAATAGAAGCTTCCCCAGTTAAGTCAGTTTAGCCCACATTCCTTTGTCTCTACTCTAATTGTTTACTCATGTAAACTTTGTGCTGGACGGTCCTCTTAGGGAAAGGTTGAAGAGGGATTACCCGTTAATGGTGTTTGTTCTGGGCCCTGGAACCAAAGCTTTTATCCTTTGTAAAACCACTTTTAACCATGTTAATTATCCACAAGTGTGTTGACTTAGAACCTCTGTTATTAAATCTATACTAAATAAATGTGAGGAGGAACAGCTAGCAGGGGGTCGGGTAGCTGCAGCTGCCCTCTGAGAGTAGCTGACGACCTCCCTAGCCCACTCATTCACTGTACTCGGTGTGTGAGTGCATTTTATTCACTTGTTGTGGAGCCAGGGTTTGCTGGACAGACCCCCGCAGGTGGTGATCAACATCTCAACAAAATACATATTCATTCATTTATTTAAAAAAAAAAAAAGAAATACAGAATATATGATGAATGAATAGATACTTATTCATTCATTTATTTATTTTTTAAAAAAAGAAATACAGAAAGGATAAATAAGAAAT